TTCCAGAAATAAGGATACAGCTACGATGAGAGGCACTGGGAATGGGAAGTCTTATGCAAGTCATCCTTAACTACAGTAACAGAAGCCAATAGAGATCTAAAATGAATAAAGAGTAGCAGGAGAAGCGGCTTTGGACGTGTGGAGGAAATTACGGAAGACAGGTAAGGAAGTACACTGCGGCTCCCCCAGTGGGGAGGGGGTCTGGGATGGTGAGGAGGGGGTAGAAAATGGCGGGACTCTGTCATAAGCTTATGAACTGCTTGATTTTTAACAATGTTTATATATTGGGTGGACTAAAATTAAAATTATTTTTCTAAAACTCAATGAGCTAAAGAATAAATTTGGTAAGTTTTAAAATTTAAGTGTCTTTTTAAAATGTGAAGTCTTCATTAAAAGGTATTCCATCCCTGGACACTCAGAGTCCCTCTCAGTGTCTTTACTGTCCCTCTTTCTGCCTCTGAGGGGAGACCGCACTCTGTGGAGTGTTACCCCTTTTCTAATAAACTTTCTTTTGGACTCAAAAAAAAAAAAAAAAGGTACTCCATATAACATACAGCGTGGTGACTACAGTTAATGATATTGTACTGCAGCTGGGTGAGTACATCTTTAAAGTCCTCATCACCAGGGGAAAAAAACTTGTATTAACTATGTATCATTACACACGTTCACTGGACTACTGTGGTGATCATTCTGCAATACAAACAAATATCAGATCATTACGTTGTACACTTGAAACTAATAAAATGTTGTATGTCAATTAGACCTCAATAAAAATTTTTTTTTTAAATTTTTAAGTGCTCAAGTTTTCTCAAAAGATCAGTAATATCATTTTCATGACATTCAGTCTCCTTTGTGTACTATTTTCAGAGGCTGATGGATATTAATTACCACCATGTGGCACTAGAAAGAATACTTTCCTTGGAATGGAGGGGATTGTGGAGGATTATCACAGTATGTCTATATTTCTCCCACATCATACCAACTTTCCAAATATTCTTCCCTCTCCAAACCTCCACTCGATCCCTCTGCAACATAAATATTTGAAGAAATGCAGTAAACTGTAAAGAGTATGGAATTTGAGGTCAGATAGATCCAGCTTTCAATTTAGTTTAACTTTCTAGCTTAAGCACATTTATTAATTTCTCTACCTTACATTTCTTCGGCTATAAAATGGAAGTAGCAATTCCTATTATTATATAAAATAACACATGTAAAATAGCTTATAGTATGCACAGTACACAGTAGGTATTCAATAAATGATATTTTATAGCACAGATTTCCATAATATTTTAATCAGAATTTTATAATCGGAGTAACCATCAATTCCTAGGCCTACAAAACAAAGTCACGTTTCCTTTTAAAGTTTAAATTATCATAACATTCTCCACAAACTTGATTTCCAAAAATGTCACCCCACAAACGTCCCCCCTTATTCTGGGGCATTCCAAGGGGTGCTCGCAATCACCCAGAAAGCAGTCGCCCTACACACCTGCCCTCAATTTCCTGTGCCTGGAGGAAGCAGGAGAGCCTCCCAGACCAGCCACCGGTGGGCTCTGAGCGAAGGCTGCTGCCTGCAGAGGCCACCAGGCCAGTGCATTGCAGGGAAAGGGGACAAGCCTCTTTCCCAATTCCACGTCATACCATAGACAAGGTTTATTAAAGTTGGGGGGGGGGGGTTGTAATTTAAGTTTGGGAATTGGGATTTAATTTCTTTTAAAGCGTGGCAGGTTTCAGCCCGCACAGGAATGTCTGCATACAGTTTTCATGCCCATGGTAAAAACAGGAGCCAAAGCCATTCTAATGCTCCACTCAAGCGGTGGGCGTGTTTTGAATCAAAAAAGCTTCATGAATCAAAAATAACTTTGTACCCATCAATATGACCCGGCCCGAAGAATTTAGCCAACGCTCACTATTTGCAGATTCTGTATTGCAAACTTGCCCGCTTGCTAAGATTTATGTGTAACCCCAGATGAATATTTGTGGTAATTCCTGAATGTGCAAGTGGGCAGAAACTGTCAGCCAAGCACATCGCCAGCTGAAGTCAGACAAGGCGACACTTTGTCTTCTCGCTTTAGTTCTGATGGTATAAACAGTGTCCTTTTAAACAAGTGTCCTTTTCAAGTATATTTAGCAGCTCGTCTGTCACATTATTACGCTTTTTGGTGATTTCGCTGTCTTAACTGGGTCCCCAGCATAGCACTGAAGTGCTGTCAACATGTCCCCAGGCATGAGAAGGCTGCGACGTGTCTCGTGGAGGAAACGCATGCGGGCGAGCCTCCTCCACAGCGACACAGTGACAGTGCTGTTGGCTGTGAGTCCACCGTCCACGAGTCAACGACGCACAGGAAAACAGAAACACATAGAACAGGGTTACGGATTGACTGGCTAGTGACAGTGCTGTGACCAGAGGCTCACGGGCACTCACCCCCACCTCCTCCGGGCAGATTCCGGGTTCGCTGATTCAGGGTTCCCCAGCGCGCCCGACAACTGCTAAGAAGGAGAGCCCAGCGGGTCCTGATTTGTGAAGGCGGTGGCGGCCCCGCGTCTCTGACGGGGTCCTGGGGTCAGTCCGCCACCGAGACTTACGCTCGCTGCGGCAGGCTTGGGAGATGGGAACCAGCGCCCTGCCTCCGCGCGGACACGGCCGTTCCCGGGCACGCGGGAGGGGTCTGCGCGGCGTTCCCCAGCCGCTGACCGTAGTAGGTCCCGCCAGCCACCAGCAAGGACCCTCCTCCCCTCTCCAGGACTGGGCAGATGGGGACCAGCCATCCGCCACCGAGACTTACGCTCGCTGCGGCAGGCTTGGGAGATGGGAACCAGCGCCCTGCCTCCGCGCGGACACGGCCGTTCCCGGGCACGCGGGAGGGGTCTGCGCGGCGTTCCCCAGCCGCTGACCGTAGTAGGTCCCGCCAGCCACCAGCAAGGACCCTCCTCCCCTCTCCAGGACTGGGCAGATGGGGACCAGCCACTCAGCCGAGATCGAGGGGGGCTGTCTGCACTGGCGCTGCCGCAGCCGGCCATGCCCAGGCACAGAACACCTCGCTTCTGGGGACCGGCCTGGAGCCTGCTGGGGGGACGGGCCTGGAAAAGCGCCCACCCTCGGGTTCTCCGAGCCGGCCGTGCGCCCGCTAATGGGCCCATTTTTGAGTGCCCAGCGTTGGAAGGGCGCGCAGACCGGGGTGACGCGGGTTCGGGATGGAAAATCAGTACGCGGGCCGCGGAAGCGCCGCCGCAGCGCTGCGCAGCCGCTCCGCTTGCGACGGTCCTCGGCTTGCAGCCACCGCCCCGCCTGCACCTCCTCCGTCCCCGCCCAGAGCCCGCGACGGCCGGCGCTAAGCACGCGGGGCCACCGGCCTCCTGCTCAGCATCCTCCCTTTCAAAAGCAGCACGCGCACACACGCGCACAAACACAGACACGCGCACACACATACAGACATGCGCACACACATGCGCAGACACACATGCACGTGCACACACGCGCACACAAACACACACGGACACACGCACGCACGTGCACAGAGACACACGCACACAAACGCGCAGACACATGCACGTGCACACGCACGCACACACATACAGACACACACGAGCATCCTCCCTTTCAAAAGCAGCACGCGCACACACATACAGACACACACATGCACGTGCACACGCACGCACACACATAGACACACACGCACACAGACACACGCACACCTGCACGCACACACACGGACACATGCACGCACGCGCACACACACAGTCACACGCACACATGCACACGCACGCACACAGACACACATTTGCGCACACATGCGCACACACGCATGCACGTGCACACACACAGACACACGCACACACACAGACACACGCACACCTGCACTCACACAAACACATGGACACACGCACGCACGCGCACACACACAGACACACGCGCACATATGCACACGCACGCACACAGACATACACGTGCACACACACAGACACATACGGACACACGCACGCAGGCACACACGCGCACACACACATGCGCACACACGCATACACGTGCACACACATACGGACACACGCACGCGCACACACACAGACAGGCACACACGCACACAGACACATAGGCACACATGCACACACATACACACACAGGCACACGCGCGCACACACGTGCACACACACGCATCGATGGCGCAGACGACTACTGGGAGACGCCCCCCCCACCCCCGCATTACTACTCTGGGTTCAGGCCGCGAGCCCAGGCGCACGCAGCAGACAGAGCGGGGTCCCGCCCACCGGTGACAGCGAGTGTTGGCGCGTGCCGGGCTCGCAGCGCGCGACCTGCATTAAACTCGCTCAGGGCTGGCGACTCCGCGGTGACGGCTGCCGTCACCTCTCAGACACGGAGCTGAGGGACAGATAAAGGCAGGAGCTGGCCCAAGGCCCCTCTCCTAGCGACAGAGAGAGACGCGAGCCCAGGCGGTCCAGTTGTCGCACAGCGCCGCCTCCCACGCGGCCCGCAGCCCCCAAGGGGGCCACCAGGCCAGCTTCCCCCGGATGGCCAGCCCAGCCCAGCCCAGCGCGGTCCCAGCTCCGGCGCACAGGGAGAGCACTGAGACCTCCTCGGGGGCCGCGGCCATCTCCGCAGCGTCAGCTACCTCCACGGTTTTCTGAGATGAGGGACATCCAGCGTGACATCCATCGCCGAGGGCAAAATCACGGCTGCTTAGCTGGTGCGGCCGCTTCCCCCTTTCTGGAAAAACACAAGCTAACCTGGGGACCGGGTCTTCGCCCAGTGTCCCGAACAGATAACCCAGTTCCGACTCAAGGACATGAAGGTTCCCCATGAAGACACGGTTATGGTTTCATGGGGTTTCGGAAATAACTTCTCTTGATTTGCTGACACTGGAATAGAGCTAAGAAAACGGTCAGGGGAATCTGTGATGACATGTTCGGAGGAGGCAGCGCAGTGTTTATGGCCACAGGTGACAGAAGACTGAGGAAGGCAGGAGAGCAGGTAAACCACACACCTGTCTGCTTTTGTTAGTGGAGACGCCAGCAAAGGCCTCCATCAGCCCAGCCGCTGTGTCCCAGCACTCAGGTATTTATCGGCCTCCTCCTCCAGAAGATGCTCAGTGGCAAACATCCTACAAGACAAACGCATCCTAAAAATGCCACAGAACACAGGAGAGATTGGCAGCCACTGCCAACCTCACCCGAGAAAGTCTGAGCCGCTCATTAACACCCAGATCTGACACTCCGATCATTCAAAATCTTTCAAAAGCGAGGAGATTCAATGAAAATAACCCAAAGTAAAATATATTTTTTACTATTCTGATAAATCAACAGTGCTGTTTTTCACAAACATCTGGCTCTAGCCAGCATTTTAATGTAGCAATCCGAACAAACTTGGGAGCAATACCTTATTTCATTTGCTCGAGGAGACTCATTGATTTCTCACACATAAACTCCCCAGTTGACTTAATTATTTCTAGGTGGTCGGAACACTATTTTAAACTAGACTTCCTCTCTTTCATACGCCACTCTCTTTGAGACATAAAATTTAATATCTATTAGTAAGAAAACAATCATCTGACTTTTATATGTAAAAGGAGAAAGTCCAATAAATAACGTCCTTCTCAAATATCGGTCATGGTGTAGTAAGTTAATGTGGTCATGTAAATACTAACATGGAATTACTTTCTACAGTAACGTATTGATTTTCAAGCTGCTCTTCCAATGCCCAGGGCTCTGGGGTACATAAGGAGCCTTGTCGGGTGAAAAAAAAGGGCAGTCCCTCAGGGCCACCAGCTCCATCCTAGTCAATTTTTAAATCTGTCACAAACTGCAGTTTCACCTACGATGTTCTTTGGGGGGTGGGAATTCTAGCTAAAAAAGAAAAATATTGCAAATCCATAGTCTTAACCCTATGAAAATGATTATTTTGCTTTTGTGGTTTTCAAAATAATGTGCTTCAACTATGCTCAGCTAATGGTTGATGTAATTTATTATGTAAAATCTCAAAAGTAATAAAATATCGCAAAATAGTCAAGCCACAATTTAAGATAATATACTTTCAATCTGAATAAAGCTAAATATTTAGCTTTTTCTAAAACAGGAATATTACCTTTCACAGCAGTTATCACAGGAAGGTGCGTTTTTCTTTTCTTTTTCACACATATCTGTCATCTCTCTTAGTTAGTGCAGTTAAATTGACTATTTTCTCCCCAAAGTATTCTATCTCGGCCGGGTTTTTCTATTCTTCCACATGAATACAAATGAAGCATTTGTATCATACAACAAAATCAAATTTAGCTCATATGCCTCAAGAGCAATTTGATTTCACATTTATTCATTTGTGGTATTTCTAAATTTATGTAAATTGCTGTTATTGTACAGAAAAATTTTTCCACCTTTATAATGAAAAATACTTCAGTTATTTTGTCAAGAGTCTACAGAACCTATTTAAAGTTACATAGACAAGAAACAGTCAAAATCTCCTAAATGTCAGGTGTGACCAAGGAGATACACACAAGAATCGTTTCATGTAAAACTAAACTATAGACTCTTTATTTTTCTTCTTTACCTCCTTCAAATAAGAGGAACTAGCTAGATTCATAACACTGGATGGAAACTTTGCAATTATTTTATCTAACGTATCTTTATAATGTTTAACATGAGGAACATAAAGTCACCAAAAAAAGAATAACTTCTTATTTAATAGCAAAATTGTGACCAAAACATAATCTTCTGTCTAAAGCCCTTTCAACTACATCACCAATAATAGCCTTCCGTGAAATCCTGCCCCCTCCCAGAAACTGTAGAAATAACTAAAGCACACAGGACACATTCTATTTACATTTGCCACGAAATTAAACACATAAACATTTAACATTAACATTAAAAATAGCAAATCATTAAATGGCACATAGACCCTAAGATTACTATGCCGTTTAAAATTCCATCTTTGGACAGTCTCCTGGCTCAGGCGAAATGGCCAGAGAGGCAGCCAGCTTCCGGGCTTCCCTTCCCGCTGGCCCCAAGGGGTCACCTTTGGCTCTCCTTGGGGGCACGTCTGGTTCTCTCGCCTTGCCTACGCGTTCAGGAGCAGGAACCACCTCTCAGTCAGGGAACGTGCATCCATCTGTATCACAGGTGCGTTCTCATTTGAATGCCACTCCATCCCAAACCCCTTACAAGGGGACATTTCTGTGCATGGCGCCTCATTTTGGTCACTCGATAACAGGCATATATTTCTCCAGTCTTAATAAATATGTTTATGCTTCTCTGTGTTTCTGGCCATGTCTGCGTAGATTTCTTTCAACATGTTGGAGGCGGGGGGATTAGAAAGTCTAATTTAGTAAATGGACAGGATGGCATACATGAAATTCACCTGGGACTGGAGCAGAGGGACGTGAGGACTAATAAGGAAAGATATAATTTTTAAAAGTGAGTAAAAGTACCATTTACACTGAAGACTTTGTTCACAATTGGAAGAGACATGTATTCTCCAAGGCATCAGAGACAGGTATTTAAGGTGAAGGTGAAGAGCTTCTGAGCACCCCAAGAAGTAGGCAACCATCATTTGGAGGTTCTCAGAAGACTGACGATAGGTCAAGAGAGAAATGTTTGTTCTCAGACAGCTGAAATTGGGATCAGGCCCTGGAGACACGGGCTAGCTAGTAAAATGTCATTCACAGAGAACACAGTGGTTTCAAACTTAAACCCCAATCAGCTAGGCTAACACAGTAGGACTACAAAATAAATATCCGTGACGACAACACGTGAAAAAGAAAACAAATCCAATCTCCACGAAGCGCACACTCCACTGAGCAACAAAACTTTGAGCTACCCAGTTAGCATCGCCTGTTACTTAGGGTTTAGCTAGTCTCTTTTTACCGTACAACTCTAAATATCTTCCAGGGATTCTTCCATATTTTCCAAAGATGCCATAACAATATCTCCCACCCCACTTGCTCATCTGCAACATGACCTGGCCACCCTCCCTTCTATCTTGTCCACTGAGATGCTTGTAGGACTCCGGGCCACCATGTACACAAGGCCAACCACTCTGAGGCTTCCATGTTTGGAAAACCAGGCCACGTGTAAGGCCATGCACAGGTGTTCCTGCTGGCAGCCCCAGCTGAGGTCTTCACCAACAGCCACCGTCAGCCACCAGACTGGTGAGCGAAGACCCCTCCCAGTGATTCCAGCCCCAGGCATCGAGTCACTCTCAGCCAGTGACTGTCCCTAGATAAGGCTTCACACATCATGTGGTGCAGAAAAATCACCCTCGCCACGCCTTCTTCAAATCTGATGACAAAATCCATGAGCTGAATACATCGCGGCTCCAGATCAGTAAGCGTCTGCGTGGTTTATCTTACGGCGGTCACTGGAACGGCCCTCCGTCCTGGCTCTACCCCATACAGCGTCTGGGCACACAAGAGGCTCGTGGCATTGTGGCAGAGGGTGATCTTGCGTCTCTGTGTCCTCCAGATCCTCTGTAGTTTCCGCTGTGATGGGACTGGTCTGATCTGATTCCTGAACACGTGCCTACTATTATGTGGTGAGTCTATCGAAGCGCCATGATGGCTCCACCATGAGTCTGTGCTCTTAGATCTGTGGCTCTGGTCGTGAGGTCCCTCACAGAGACCTCTCTGTGTCAGCTCTGATGGTCCAGTGACAACCATCAGCCCTCCACACCCTCTCACCAGAGAGGATAAGGAAATTTCTCAAGCCCTTGGCACTCTGTGCCTTCCTGTGCAGCCAAGAATGCTGCTCCATGCCGTCTACTAGCCAACCCCCTCCGCCATGCTCGTTGTCCCCCTGCCATCTTGGAGAGGCCACCTATGAGATCCTCCCTCGGTTCCGCAGCCTCCCCAAGCTTGCTTCCCCCACGAGACCCGACGGCGTGGCCAGAGTCTTGCACACGTACACTGGGCTTGGTTCCCACGAGGAGGAAATCGAGCGCATGGAAACCTGACCCCTTCGCCCACCCCTCTTCTCCTTCCCGAATCCATAGGTTCAGGAAAGAAGCTTCTGCTTTTTCTCTAGCTAAGCCTTCTCCTCCATTATATCTTCCTCCTCCCAGAAGACATTCAACCCCAGTTCCCAGCCTCGACCATAGAAAAGGTATTTTCACTCCACTGAAGGATAAACGGCATCATCTGAGCTATTAGGCTCCTCACGTGGAAACCATAAAACTACTGGCAAAAAATTTAAAAAAAATCCACATTGGTTTATTACCATGAAAACATCACTCCTGTTACGCAGAGGAATACTATGTTATTCCAATCTGTAAATAGGTACCTGTTTTACTGTTGACTTTATCACACATTTCTTCACATGGTAGAAGTATAACACGCCTGCAATCCTGGAGTCATTTATAATATGGATTCAAAATCATTATCTTCCTCTGAGTGTCTCTAGGTCATCCTGGTCAATCCCCAAAACCTCGTTGGGGCAAATTTACTAAGACAGTGACTGTCTGATTATTTCTTTGTCCTCATTCATCATCCATTGTTCGTTGTAAGTGGGCTAAATAACTCATATTTCTTAATTGGTTGTTCCCTCTGCACAACATTCAAATCAATAGACAAATGCGCTGTCCCCTCTACCAAGTGGTCTGCAAAGCCACAGCAAATAATGCCAATCTAGCCCTGAGCAAGCGTCGATGTGCAAAGCGAACTCTCTTACGGGACCCTGCGGTCATTACAGTGCATCTGTCTGACAAAGCCCCAGTCTACGAGCGGTCAATACATTGACCAATTTTCTGTTATTTAAAGTCAAGAGCCAATGACTACACAAAATAGCGACAATATGTTTATCCCGATTCAAGCATTAAAACTGTATTCCAATGAAAATTTTAACTATACAAACATCAGTAAACTGTGCTTCTGAGTAAAAAGCAAATGCGGAATACTGTTTTATTATCCATCTCACTTAACCTATACCATCACGCCGTGCGTCTGAGATCTTAGAGGGCAAAGAACTTGAAATTCACCCAGGTCTCCCCAGTCACCAGAAGACAGGCACGTCCCCTCGTCTTGCTCACCTTTGCGTTTCTGGCACTAGCATCTAGCACACCAGCATTCTGAAAAATGAGTAAGCCTAGTCCAAGCCTTTCACTTTACAACTGGGGACACTGACGGGTAAGCGCTTCTGCCCGCCATCCCCAGCAATGGCTAAGAGGCTGCTGATATGAGCCTATGCTCACTGTGTGTGTTCATTCACGTCGCTTACTGCGTACGATTTATCAGCTATGCACACTTTTAGTATCTCCTCTAGAAATTCAGTTCAAAACTGACAACTACACTCAATAACACTGAGGTTCTTTTGCTTATATTGATTGCTTCCGATTAAGAAAGATGCTAACAAAAGAGAACAAGAAGAACACACAGAAAATATTCAATGTTCTCCAGTTTGGGACTTAGGCATTCCCTATACCGTAAGCTAAGACGTTTCTTTAGAGCTAATGATATAACAGACACTCAGGGGCAATAACACAATCTAAGTAATTCTGACTATTACAGCCCTTCAGATGAAGACTAAAATCTTAAAAATTTCATGATATTAAAAGTTAGGTTGTAGCAAGGCTCTATTATTCTGTATTATTTAAAATTCGTTTGCTATTTGTTGAATAGAAATACACGTGCATGTGTGCGCACGTACACACACGCACACGCACACACACGCACACACAAAGGAGAAATATATTTTCATTTTGAGTATTCCTAGACCCCTTTTCTATGATATCTTGAAATTTTCACTTAAATTCAATAATATTTATTATGTGCCAACCAGAACTCCCTACCCTCATTAGACTTTACAATCAAAAGAGACAAAGACATATGGGAAGAAACTTCAAATATAATTGAAAGTGCCATGGCAGAGCTGTGACACGCCTGGGGATGACTGTTAAGTACGGGTGACGGTGTCTGTTGACGCGGCTGCTGACACCGGGTCTGCCTGAGTGACAGTGACAACCACCGCAGAGGGGAGTAAGGCTCTCCCTGTCTCGTGTCATGTTTGCTGTAAGAGACAAAGACATATGGGAAGAAACTTCAAATATAATTGAAAGTGCCATGGCAGAGCTGTGACACGCCTGGGGTTGACTGTTCAGTACGGGTGACGGTGTCTGTTGACGCGGCTGCTGACACCGGGTCTGCCTGAGTGACAGTGACAACCACCGCAGAGGGGAGTAAGGCTCTCCCTGTCTTGTGTCATGTTTGCTAAGGGAGCTCACACAGAAAGTGTCGGTTGACAAAGATACATCATTACGTGAAAACTATTAGAGCTGAAAAGAAGAAAATCTGTACTTGAGAGAAATGTTTCTGTATTAAACAGAACAGGCCACTGAAGTCCTACTGACAGATCTGTTCAGAAAAAGATGATGCTGGTGGGGACGTTTCCTGGCACGAGTCACCACAAGCCCAGCGTCAGTACTGGGGATTCTGTGACACGTGTCTTTTATTTAAATTTCACTTCCTCAAAAATCCTCTTCGCCAAGGTGTGGGCCGCCTGCGCTGGTTGCCAAGGACACAGGACTAACTTGTCCCAGGGAAAAGCCACACTCCAGCGTAAGTGGCACGGGCCAGACGGCCTGAGCAGACCAGCAGGCCTCACGGCCCTGCCAGGAGGACCCCGAGACTCGCGGAGGCTGCTCTCTGCACGTACTGTCTGAAAGCAGGAAATAGCACGTGAGTAAAGAATGGGTATTTCATAAATTAGGAGTGTTTCGTATGACCTTGTCCCCTCACACTTATCAACCGCAGACTTTCACCGAACACCGTCTGTGTCAGGAACTTTGCTAGGCAAAGGAAGTGTCTGCTCCCAAGGGATACAGAATCTCGTTAAGGACACGGAACGTAGTCACGGAAATGCAAATACAACACAGCAGACTCTGTGTAACGGGGGGTGATGAATGAGGCCAAATATTTCAGTTTTAGGGAAATATTCCGATGCCGAGCTACTCCACCTGGAAAAGACCAGAACTGGACCACGTCCTTGAGGACTGGGGCACAGTTCCCACAGGAGGAGTTTTCCTATTGTCAATCATCCTACAAGAGGCTAAACCAGAGTGGGGTGGCGAGAAACTTGGGTATGGAAGAAACTTATATTAAAAATCACGACTGAACCAAATAAATCTGAAGATCTAATTGGCTTCATTCAACGACTCACGGATCGGGCAGCATCTCATCTCGCGTACAGAAAGGAGCTCCAAGGGCCGGACACAATGGAGGCAAAGCGAGGATGTTATTCCAGCAAAGAGCGGATCGTTTCGAGCCCGGTCACCTTCCCTAGGGGGCCGGCGGGGGTCTACGGGGCAGATGACCTCCTAGTGTCGACCAGGACTTGGGGACTGATGGGCTGGAGGCTCGTTCCTGGGAGAGGCTGACGCTGCAATCAGGTAGGTACTAAGCCTTGGTTTGCTAACGTGGGGCTCAGCGCAGGTGACTCCATTCTCGGCCTGTTGTTTCTTTTTTCTTAACGCTTGTCTCTTTCTAGGCAGCAGCATTTGATGCATGAAGAGGACTGAGAATTCTGGAGGGGCTCGAATAGTGGGGTTTGGGCTGCCCCTGGTCGGAGGACACAGGATGAAAGCAACGCAGAGAATGAGCCGAGACGTGCCCGCAGGTGAGCACGGGCTCAGACGGTGGTCGTCGGGAACCTGACTTAGGAGCCTCTCCTGTCCACCACGCAGCCGGGAAGCCTCAGCGCCATCAGCACGGCCTCCGCTGCACTGCGGGTCATTACGAAGGCCCAGCACACACGTTTTGGGAAGGAGTGACACCAGGGAGCGCAGGTCCTCCTCTGCAAAGCCAGACGGGTGTGCGTGTGGGATGAGGGGGCGTCAGGGCCGTCAGGTGATGCGGGAGTACCACGCGGGGTGCTGTCCCACGAGGACCTGCGGTCAGGGAGGCGGAGGCGTGAGGATCGCACGACGCAGTCTGGACAGAGGACGCGGAGGGGTTTGTGCCCAAACGCATGAGCAGCAGTGCTCTAGGAATGGCCAGAGACCACCGAGGTCTCTGGACAGAGGACGCGGAGGGGTTTGTGCCCAAACACATGAGCAGCAGTGCTCTAGGAATGAATGGCCAGAGACCACCGAGGTGTGTTTTGTGAACCTCATTTCGTGGCAATGAAGTTGATGGGAGATTCGCCATGACGATTTGCATGTAAAGATTAAATGTGCTTTGATTCCATAATAACATTTCATACTTCAAGCTCCACTATTCATAGGGTAACCGTCTGTCCCTTTGCCCAGATCGATTCCAAATTCTGCCCGTTGTCTCAACGTAATTATCGACGACACTCATTTTCACCATCGAATGAGTCCCAGCTTGAACAATAAGTGACGTGGTCACCCTCAGCGAACACTGCCTGGATGACGCAGACAGAACCACAGCGTCACAGGGCAGACGCCGCTGAAGGATGAAGGCGACCGTATCTGAAATGTGTCTTGAAGGAAGGGGGGATGTAAACAGAGAAAAAAGCAATGATTTTATAGGGAAAAAAGTGACGGTACGTGAAAATAAACGAGGCGTATCTGCCATCTTTTGCTGACATGTATTTAATTCTTTCCACATGTCATGCACGATTTTCTGTGCTTTTACATGTATGAACGCTTACGCTCCTCCTAATTACCCTATAGCCATCTTTTGCTGACATGTATTTAATTCTTTCCACGTCACGCACGATTTTCTGTGCTTTTACATATATGAACGCTTACGCTCCTCCTAATAACCCTATGAAGCAGGCACCATCGCCATCCTTCTTTAGTGAGGCACAGAGAGCCTGACTCGTTTACCCAAGCTACGCAGCGAGGAGGTGGCAGGGCAAGAACGGACACAGGCAGCCCGGGCACCCCGCGGCACACCGCCCACCGGGGAATAACGGGCAGCTTCATCTTGCGAAAATTTCTGACGGGAGAAAATTGTAGATGAAGCTGGCGAGATGGGTCAAAGGGCCGCAGGGCCTCAACGTGGCATCTGTACTTCGGTCCTGAAGCAGCGTGGAGTGGCGAGGACTCTGAGACGCTGAGTCAAGCAAGCGCAGCTTCAGAAGATGCATCTGCAGGAGGCGCACACAGAAGGGATCAGAATTAGGCTTACGGGGTTGTTCTAACCGGACTGGTTCACAGACTCTGATTTATTTTGCTTCCCTTGCTCTGCTCATCGGTATGAACATGGGTGACGTCTTTAAGAATTGCCTGCAGCTAAGATCTGTGGGTAATAAGGATAATAATACTGATTTGTGGTTGATAAGGTTAAGAATTCAGAAAGTACCCGGGGAGGCAGGCGCACACAGACATTTGTACGTACGAGTATTTCTTGTTTAGAGATACGTTCTGAATGCAAAGCCCCAGAGCTGAGTGTGAAGGCTGAGAGGCCGAGTGGAAGATGAAAGGGTAAAGGGCAGGAGGTCTATGAGAACGACATCAGTGCTTCAGGGCAGACCGGGTCTGCTGCTTGTTAGGAAAAGTGAGCCCGATCCGCAGAGGTTTCGATTCAAAACAAGCAAGAATTTTCACACGGTTAAAACTATCCAAGAGCGAACAGACAATGTGATTCTATGAGCATTTGCTCCAAATGCCTCTATTCTAAAAGTCCGATCCATCAAATATTACACAAAAACGAAGAAGAAACGTAACTGACAGTCTATAGACTAGAGGTAAGTTAGTGAGAGACGGACAGGGAGACTGGGAGACTAGACAGATACTAGCTAGATAAACAGAAAGATATACAGACAGGGAGGTAAGTATTATTACATTGTTTTACCAAATCTCCCAGCCTCCCAAATGTGGAAACCCAATCAAGACGAGACTCTCAAGAGTTTAAGGGCTCTGCCTAAATAATGACTTTCTTGGTCCATGTACCAGTAAACGGGAAAAGGAAAAAGACTGAAGGCTTTGGTAATTATTTCTAACATCTGGATTTGGACAATTAGTATTTGTTCTTGTGCTTAAAATTGGGTAGCATTTTACATTATTAAAGAGCTAGTGAGTATTGGAATTTGGGGAGATTATTTTCCCTAAAAGGTAAAAAATAAATACTTCAAAGTATTCCTTCCCTCGGCATGTGCAGAAAACCTGTTTCACGTTTCCTTCATCAGCATCGACATCTGGGGCATCCTATGTCCGATGCAGTGTTTTTTCACGTACTGGGATTGTGTATGTGTTTGTGTGAAGAGTATAGAAATGCAAATTATATTCCCGAAAGTTTAAATCAAATTCATCTCAAATAGTAAATTTCAAAAATAATTGCTTGAAACTTCCATACAAGTAAATCGATTAAAATCATGAACATTATTTACCCTAATTTATATATCCCACATCATTTCATTTTCTTTGCCTAGGTGGCTTCTGTCTCATCGTGGCACAAAGGAACATCCTAGTCAAGAACAAGATACCTGTCTTCTAATGCTTATATGTTGTTTTGAGAAAAAATGAATTCTGCAGATGAACAACAATGAAGACAATTTCACTTTTAAATCATTTATTTCAGCAGAAAGACAACTAATGGGGTTTTTAACTTATGTTTCTTAGATTATATAATGAAGTCATTATTTCCAGAGAATAATTCCTCTTTCCAATTGCTTGAAACCACTGTCATAATAATTTGATTTAAATTGGAAAGAAACAATCACAGTCTCTTTTCAATTAAGAGACATACTTCATTTCCAATACCCCATTCTCTTCATTTCCTCTAAAACTCATTACAAACCGAATAATTTTACTCAGCCTGCGCAGCTTCTGGAAACACAGTCAAGGGTTACAGTATAATTGTGAAGTTTTAAGGTTGTCCTTTATCTTTTTTCTTGGAAACATTTTACATTGAGTAGAAACTCAGGCTTTTTAAAACTATTTCTTTAAGGAAGAGCATCTGTTACGAAAAGGAAATATAAGAAAACTATAGCTTTTCTCCAGGATCAGGATGATATAGCATTGTTAAAATACATTTTGTGAGACGCGACTGGATCAAGAAACAATGATTGTTATTAGATGGCTGAAGAGAACAATCAGAAGGAAGTTTTAAAAAATAATGCCAGGTATGTGGCTAGTTAAAGTCAGCGAAATCAAAATGCATTCTTGCAAATATGTTTTTTTTGAAATTTAAGCTTTAATTTCAAAAGCAATGCTATTCTGAAAACTTAGTAATCGGGCTGGACTTTGTAATAAGATGTAATAAGAGGCCAAAATGAGACATACTTTGAGGTGTAACATATTTGAATAAAAACCTGATGGACAAAAGAAAAATAATTTAACACAATTCCCAGTTCTGAGAATGTCGCCGCGCGCTTCACTTACATAGCCACACCATTTGCTCTTTTCGACCAGCGAAAGGCTGCTGCTGGCGCTGCCTGTTTCACGGACGAGGAAACGCAGGCTGGAAGAGGACAAGTCGCTTGCCCGAGATCACACAACCAGCTAGCGGCAGAGTCGGAACCGCGAACCAGCCATTAATTCGAAATCCTTCATTTATTAACACGAGCCTTCTTTACCCTGCTATGCTACGATTTCCCTGGATCGACCGCGTGAAAACAGAAAACAGAAAAATATGGGATCGACCTAATGTCCATGAACAGGGAATTATTTCAATATATTTATCGTTGAATTATTCCAATATAATGCCACACAACAAAATTGTACGGCAATATAAAACTGGTAAATCTGCGTGTACTTCCATGAAAAGCACTCTAAGATATAAAAAGTAAAAACAAAATAGAATATTAAAAAACAACATGATTTCAGTTACGAGTTGTTAAAATTACAAATAGATATAGATGACAGACGAAAGAAAGAAAGGAAGGTGACAGACAGACACATACTGAGAAAGAGACCTGCCTACATTCGTGTTATATTTACTTTGATCTTGTGACCGTGATTTATCGTTATTCCTAGAAAACCCGTCTACGCCACAGGTCAGAGGCCAAGGTTAGACGGCTGCATCCCCTTCCTCACAGGTTCACGGGCACCCTAGGACTCGGCCCACCACTGCCGTGCCCACCACAAAGCACCTCTGACGTTCACCATTTTAAAGCACTTCTGCTTGAATTACATGACTTGGCCCTCAAAATACCCAGAATCCAAGCGTCCTGGAGCAGTTCAACATGACACAGTTACGCTTTTCTGCTATTCCGTGCTAGTAGAAACTCGTATTTACTCATGGGCCAGCATTTATTGAGGGTTTACTGTGAGCCAGCTTCTCGTAACAGGTGTCGTCTGAGTAGAAAGATGAATCACATTAGACAAAGATTCTGCCCTGAATAAAACAAGTGACCAGTCTGTGCTGGGAGAGGTGGTGAGTTACAGGTGCATAAACAACACCTGTAAAGTAAAGTAAAAAGTGAATAGGTGACATTAGAACGCTTTGGGAAAAGGGACACATTATTGTCTCGCTGATCTGCAAATCGGGAAGCCCAAGGCCCTTCTGTGAGATTCGAAACTCTGCATTTAAGTTGTGCACGTAACTTTCTTTGCTTAGTTAGTCGCAATAGTTCTTCCAAGATTTTACCGATCCCATGACGCTTTGCACAGTGCGATGAGCTCAAAGCTCAAACACACAAAATGAGAGGCAAGTCAATCCACTTACCAGCTGTCCGGCTGGGAGAGCTGTTTCATCTCTCTAAGCCTCTGTGCGGTGAACTGCAGCTTCCAAAAGCAGTCACGTCAGTATTTCTCTCCAGAACCTTGCCATTCCGTCAGAAAGAGAAGTCAGCGTCTCCTCTTGAAATTGGGCATTCCTCATGGTCACGCTGTCACTCAGTGAATAGAAGGTGGCTTAACACAGCCATGACTTCCGAGGCTAGTCACGAAAATGCTTGCGCGTGCTCGCTCGCTCGCTCTCGTTCTCGACACTCACCTCTGAAACCATCCCCCGCGCTCCTAGGCAGTGCCAACCGGTCCCCGTGAAGATATCACGAGTCCGTCACATCGAGCACCAGGCCTGTGCGCAAACGAGCCCTCAGATGACCACAGTCTCAGCCTTCAAGTCCTCCGGCCGAGGCCGCAGCTCTGTGGAGGAGACGAGCCAGCCCCGTCTGCCTTCCTGATCCGGAAGCGGCATAAATGGTGGTTCTGATGCAGTCTGGAAGAAGCGATGGGAACTGGAACACTCGACTTCCTCATCTGGAGAAAAAGAAGAACAGCATTTGGAGACAATATGAAGGGCAGAGGACAGCGTCAGGCGCGCTGCGGACACCAGGTGAGTGGAAACTACTGTTAGCATCTTAGTCCCTCCCGGCCCGTCCTCTCCGCCCCATCCCACATGGCTCTGCCCGCTCTGTCCACCTCCGCGGTAGGAAAATGAAGCCCCGTTCTGAAACCACCCTGACAGACACTCCGGAACCAGACCAGCCTGCAGTTTATGAGGAGCGAGGTGGCTTTTAGCAGGCGGTTCGTCCATCCCTAATTCTTCCCAGCAAACTTGAACTCCGAAGGTCGGAATGAACAGAGACGAAGGGAGTGGCTGGAACAGCCCAGAGCGGACGGGGCAGACAAAGGATCCCTCGTGATGAACCTGCTTTCTAACTTTTTTGTTGTCACTTAGGGCAGTAAGTACTTGTATAATGTCTCTCTCTCACACACACACACACACACGAATTCACCACTGGAAATGAGCACATGCGTGATCAGAAACCATGGTGGCTGGTATTTGGAGCATCGGTTTAAACATGTCATTTTCTGCCCATTCATTCACCTTTCGGACGGCCCTCTGCCCAGCACCTGTGCGTGCCGGGCTCTGCAGAAGCACGAGGGATTCAGAGATTCACTCTCCGTGGCCTCCGCCCGTGCAGGTTAACAGTCTAAAGGTAGAAGAACACACAAAAGTCCTTTCTGTTTTTCGAGTTGTTTCTTCTCCCAAAAATTCCTTAACGTGTTGCTGCTGTGACAACACGTCATAGTTAAAGCAGCCAACATTTAAAACAAGCTGTATATTAACGCAGCTCCGATTCACGCCGATGTTCTTCTCTGGCTCTCACACTAGCTTCCCTCGGCACCTTCCTCGTTGGTGCACACGTCAGCCAACACGTATTTCCGGTGTTACCTGTCTGGCCTTCCCCTCAGCCAACGCGCAAAGGTAGATAACCCCAGCACTGCCACGTGGGCTCAGACGTCGCAACGCAGACTGCTGTGCACGTAACTTAATAAATACTTGCTAAACAAGGCAATTAAAACACTATTCTGGTAAAAACAGGTTTTGTGCAAACAAAAAAGACCAGACAAGCTTTTCGGGAGCTCCACGCTGTCCCCGAGGGAGTCCCGTCGCTCCGCAGAACGAAGCGCCCGCGTGACCTTGAATGAGCGACGCCCTTTCCCAGCTGGCGGCTCTCGCTGCCTGAGACAGCGGCTGCACTGGAGACAGTCACAGCCCCCCCGACGGCCCGTCAGGACCCACCCCGCCTCGCCACGTGTTCTGACCTACTCACGACCTCGCGAAGCCCGAGCCCCCGCGTCACCTTCCCCTCTGACCCGGCTGCTTCTTCACAGCGTCTGATCTGATCCAAGGCCCCCCTCCTCCCGCCGCCGAAGCCCCAGACCCTCACACGCCGGCTCCCTGTCACCGCTCAGGTCTGACGTCAGCGTGCAGCTTCGGCCACGCCGTCAGGCAGGCCTCGTGCTTGCTTCGCTCCAGCGCTGCCTCAGGTGCTAACTGTCACTCAGCCCTTTGTTTACTTGTTTATTATGCATCTTTCCAAATCAGACAAGACGATCCCTGAGAGTCCGGGTAACACTCATGAGGCTCACCCCTCTATACCCAATGCCCAGATCAGGCCCTAGCAACTGGTATGTGCCCGATTAATAAACGCTGGGTGAGCAAACTAAGCAGCTACCGAGCAGACACGGTATGTAAGCAGAGACACAGGCTTCGCTGCCACCGCCCTCACGCAAGTCACGCCCGTCTTAATCGATCGATCGGCTGAAGCAACTTTCAACTGGTCTCCCAGCTTCCACTGTTTCATTACTTCCTTCCCTTTTGAATCTAACTTTCCACAGATTAGCAAACATGATTCATAAAAAGTAAATTGGAAAACGATAAGTAATTTGAGACTTCCGCTCAAAAAAAAAAAAAATAGGTCTACTTTTCGCTGTGTCTCCCATTAAATACAACCAGAACCCGTGGACATCGTGCATAAGACAAAGCGAAGACTCTGAAAAGGGGGGTGGGGTAAACCAGCTGGGACACGGAGGCCCAAGGGACCGCCGGGTGCCGAGCTGCCCGTGCTCCCCTTCCACCTCGAGCATCCCAGGCTGGGAGCTGGAGCACCGGCAACCCAGAAACGCCAAGAGACAGAAGCAGAGAGCGCCAAACAGAAGCCACGCGCCCTTGGAGACGTGAGGGAGAAATGCACGTGGAAACGGGAAGGGACGCAGGAGCCAGAGACAGAGGGTCTTGTGCGTTTCCCTTTTCCCTCCTTTCAAGCCAACCCGCCGGCCCTCTTCCCCTAGACCCCGCCATGCAGACTCCAGATGCCTGACCACACGTCCCTGCCGAGACTCACAGCACCCCTGCCTGCCTGGAGGCCCCCACCCCCCACCGCCGCCACGCAGACGAAGGGTGGAGACCAGGAACGGAGGAGGTGAGTGGCAGGGGACTGGACGGGCAGACGGAAGATGCTGAATTAACTTCCTAGCTTCCGGTAAGTTTTCAAAGTGCCAGAAGGGAAGGGGAAGGGGAAGGGGCCAGGGAGGGGAGGGGAAGGGGCTCCACGCCTTGTGGCACTGATACCTCAGTATAGTTTACGAGTACTCATTAAGAGGTGCAAATTCACTGCCACATTCTGCTAAGTGGGGAAGGTTTTGTGACAGACATGAAAATGTGGGGATTAACTACAGAATTCAGTAAATTGCCAAGTATAAGAAAGAAATTTAAGATGAACTGCAAAGGTGTAAATGTATTAAAATATATAATAAAATTTAAGCTGTGTTATAATTGAATATCAAGAAAAGTCCAATTGAATATACTTTCTACGTTTTTTTTTTACATTTCCTTTTTAAAATTAGTGCGGAAACTGAGTGTACTAAGAGACAAGTAGAACCCTGAAGCGAGCATTTTAAATACAAATTCATTATTGTATGTAATATCTTTTGCTTGTTTCACTCTAGGCTTTTTGAACTTTCAACAAATTCCTCTAGATAACATTTGCTAAATTTACTATCAAACTACATATTTCAGAAACCATATTAAGTGACTTGCATATAATATCAGTATCTTTTGTTTTGCTATCCAATGGATTTCTTAGACAGCTGCTTTAAATTTTTCTTTAAAAATATATACCTGTGAAATGCACACTTTTGCCACAAGGTGGCGCCTTCTGGATTCTAAATTAACTGTACGATGTAAGCTCGGAAAATAAATTTCCATGGAGAATACATTATCTCCTACATGTTCTTTTATAGTAAATACTATTGAGATAAAGCCGATTTGGGGAAAAGAGAGAAATCTAAGCACCATATATACAACGAACTGCTCTTTCGATGACGTGGTGGGGGACAGGGCTGTCACCACATGTGTTATTCAGAGGACACCCGGGCTCCTGAGTCCCGCAGTGGGACGAGGCCCCGGGCACGCCGCTCAGGCCTCCGCGGGCGCAGCTGGAGCACCGCGCGTCGCGTGCGCTCAGGACCGTGCGCTCAGGACCGTGCGTCTCCGCCAGCGGCCCGGGGGCTCCCAGCCCGCCAAGCAGCCCCGGGTGAGGAAACATGTCCTGGCCCAGGCTGGACCCAGACCCGGCAACGGCCCCACAGCGCAGTGACTGCGGTCACGGACCCTGCGCCCAGCTGTTCAGGCTCCGGGGGGCTCCTGCCTGCCTGTGTCCCGCCGCGTAAACGCCTAACCTGCTGTGCCGAGACGCCCTCCACGCGAGGCGGGTCTCCGGACACAGGCCGCCCCGACGATCAAATAACTCAGCACGAGTGCAGACTTCAGACGAGCGCTTGCTATGTTTAAGAGTTTGGTCGGCACACCTGGCACCCCCCGTGCCCCCCACGCGCACACAGCCGGGGTCGGCACCCCCAGCCCCCCCATGCACACACAGCCGGGGTCGGCACCC